AAATCCTTTTATTTTATTTCTTACACTGGGTGCTGTGCTGCCTTTAATCTTAAGTGGGTTTATTTCAGCCTTTATATTTATGGTGCTTATGAGGAAAATAAAACAGATTATGCTACAAGAAAAGAGGACTGAAATCCAATCACTGTGGGGAGAAGATGTTGTTATGCTCGAAAGGTTTTGAAAAAACAAAAATAAGGGTAAAAATAAATCACTGCGTTTCTCATGCTTGTCAGGTGCGTAGGTTTTTTTTTTAAAAATGCCTGAAACCGAACAGTGATAGCTTTGTGTTATATCAAGCAGTCGATGCTTTAACTCCCACTTTGAATTCACTCTGAATCATCCGATTAAAAACACAGCAGCTCCTCGGCCGACAACTCACAGCCCTAACTCCAGCGAACAGAGAGAAGGAAACACCGAGGTACATGGTGTCCATGTTAAGTGGTCAGCTCGGTGATGACTAAGCCCATACAATCCCCTACACACACACACACACACACACACACACACACACACACACACACACACACACACACACACACACACTAAAACACACACACTCCCCTCACCATCCCCTCCTTGTCTCTCTGGAGCTTCAAGAACATATGGCTTACCGTAATGTGAGGTGGCAATGACTCACTGTGTGTTTTTCTTTTGTGTGAGTGTGTGTGTGTGTGTGTGTGTGTGTGTGTTTAGCCACCCCCCTCCACCTCCTCCTCCTCATATGAGGTGTGTATTCAGAGCATCTGGGTGGAGAAGAAGTGTGAGGGTGGAGTGCAGTGCAAGCCGTTTTGCCAAAAAATTCTGAGCGGCTGTTGTACACAAAACATCTGGACCGAAAGGATCACTTTGTGTGTAGTGTGTGTGTGTGTGTGTGTGTGGGGGTGTGTGTAGTGTGTGTGTGGGTGGGTGTGTCTGTGTGTTTATGTACATCAGTGTGTGTGTGTGGGAAAGAGAAGGAGAGCGCCAAAGATATCAATCAGTCTTTCTGCTGGCAAACATTAAACACAGCTGGACACACATGAGTTCATGCAGTCTTAACACAGACTGAGAGAGGTGACAGGCTGATATTAAAAAAAAAAGAGAAAAACACACAAATGTCCCGACCTACTAACAGTTAAAATTCCTACTTAAAAAGTTGACACAATTTCCCTCCACATTTTAATGCATCTGTATGTGTAGGCGATTTTTTTCTTGCTAAATTCATCCCTGCTAAACCCATTTCCTCCAGCAGCAGACGTTTCAGGCTCATTTTTGTGTCCGTTGTTGCAAAGTAGAGACTTTGAGTGTAGCACCAGCAAAGAAGAAGAAGAATTTGGGAATGAAGCAGAGGACATTGGGGGGTTAACTCGGGTTGAGACGACATGACTTTGAATGATCGTAAGACGTGTCTCCTGCCATCTCCTGTGAAACAATACGTTCCAGATGGATGCTAACTGGAACCCTGGATGGGGAACAAATCTGTGGGCTTTTGGCAGCAAGCCTCTTGTTTGTGTAGTCTACGCTGAAGTGCTCAAGAGTCTTGCGTGGGTTTATGAGGAGAGCGGGACTTGATTTGTGCCATTGATTTATAGATTTATTTTGATGTTTTTCATCCTCGTCTGCCTGCCCGCCCACCCCGTCTGTCTGCCGCTTGTCCTCCTTCTCTCTCATGCAGATGTTTTTTTGTTGTGGGGTGAGATCACAGCTATGCATGCTGCATGCTGGGTAATGTCTCCACCCTAATGTGTCTCTCTATTAAAAGAGTCCTTCTACCTTCTATTTCTGCTCATTTCATGCCGTGCTGCTCAGCAAGAGAAGTGACTTACAGCTTCTCTTCACTGAAGCCTGACTCAGCTCATAGTCTTAGATCCTCCTGCACAAAACACCTGAACATTTCCAGAAATGTTCCTCATGGTTAGCTGGGTTTTTCACCAGCTCAACCATGGACCTTTTCCTGCCAGCCTCATAGTAAAATGTCCGCATGAGCAGCAGCAGGAAATATTCAGCAAAAAACCAGCCAGAGTGAGCGCGTAGGTGATTGGGTTAATATCCTACGACTTGTGTGCGATCTTCTTGCATGTTGTGAAGCAACATCATTTTGTTTTCTGCTTGCCAGTTTGTTCTTTTCCACTGTGAATACTTCCAATGACAAGTGGTATCAATATAGAGGCAACAACTGTCATCATAGCATCTGTTGCTCATCCGCCATCATGGCACTGTCTCTTAGCGTCATAGCGTTCCTCCTGAGACCTCCGACAAACACTAAACATTCCTGTTCTTCTCTTTTTGGCCTCTCATGCTGCTATCGACCGCTCACATGTCTCCTTTTTGACAGAACTGGATGACTGAAACATGATCAGCGGGATAGCTTCATGTGTTCTTACCTCATTACTGATTTTGTCGTTAGTCCGAGAGCCTGTGCCCCTCGGTTCCCATCATTTCATGTCTGTGTCCCCTGTCCCCTGTGGCTTGGAATCAGTTACCAGTCCTTTTCTCTAACTCCTCCTCCTCTGCTGTCCCAAACCATATGAGGGCAGTTACAGGGCATGCTGTATTCCCTGATTTCCCTATCTGTCCCCCCCACCCACCCTACCCGACCTATCCCCACTTGTGTTGCATTATGCATCGACTATATTTCACACACGCACACACACACACACACACACACACACACACTCACGTCACACCCAGGTGCCCTTCAGCTGGCACTTTGCCCAGAAATGCCTGGCACCAGCCGGGACATATTTGTGCGTCGAGCTGCAGAGGGACTCGTGTGTTTTTGTTTGTGTGTGCCTGCCCTGCACTTGGCAGAGGATGCAGGACACACATGCCAGAAATGAGTAAAGCCACCTGATCTGCTGCATTTGAATAATATGCATTACACACACAGAGGCCTGACAGTGTGTGTGTCAGACATATGAGAACATCTACTAAGAGGCATTTCCAGCACACCAGCCTTTGGCAGCCATCACCAGGAACACAGCAGTGATTATGAGAAGTGATGTCTGTCCGGGTATATATACTTGCTTGTAAACCCTGGCCAGTGTAGCAGAGTAAAGAGGCCCTTCACTGCTTTACACTAACATTTCATATTTTCAGTGTGATACTTGTGTGTTTAAACAAACTTGTTAAAGCCAGGATGGTGATTCGTGGGGCAACCAGATGGTAAGGAAATTATACAGCTTTGTTTTCTTTTCCTCCGCCAAGCCCCAGAGATATTGGGGAATAGAAACAGCTGGGGACAGAGATAAATAGATCTATTGTCCCTCTGAAATGTTGTTGTTTTTATTTGCCGTGCTTTGCTCTTGATTTTTTCTTGTATTTGCCAGGAGTGTGCTGAAGCTAAAGCCTGCTGGTGTGTCTCTTATCAACTTAGTATGGACACAGCCAAGGTGAATTTTAACAGGTTTTAAAAACGTTGCAGACCACAGACATAAGGACGGTTTGAACTTATTTTTAAAATCGGGACGGGGTTCACTAAACTTTGCCATGCAAAGGAGCATTACCCTCTTGCACAGGCCTTTCTCATGCAGGATTTCTAAAATGTCTTCCTGCTTCCTGTACATTAAGATTAAGATGGGAAATATAAAAAATATCAGACTTTCAACTTCTAAATATATTTCCTTATTTATGTTAACATTTAGCACTTTGGTGCAGTGGTTAGCTCTGTCCCCTCACAGTGAGGAGGTTCCTGGTTTGAATCCCCGTCTGACAGGATCCTCTCTGTGTGGAGTCTGCATGTTCTCCCCGTGCATGTGTGGGTTCTCTCTGTGTACTCCGGCTTCCTCCCGCAGTCCAAAGACATGATCATTAGGTTAACTGCTGACTCTAAATGTCCCGTAGGTGTGAATGTGAGCGTGGCTGGTTTTCTGTCTCTAAATGTCAGTCCTGTGATTGGCTGGCTAGTACTTCAATACCTTTTTTTTTGTAATTTCTGACTTTACATCAATCAAAAGTACAAGAGCATGCAGTGATGCAGTGATTAATAACTCAAAAAAACAATTTTTAAAAGTAATTTTCACAAATTATGTTGTAATTTGATTTCTATTTGTATGTTCCATTTCTTCACCTCTTTCTTCCAAGTTTCTGGTGACCCCCTCGTGTTGAAAGACATTGGTCTAGTCAGTGTGTAGCAAGCCAGGGAAAGAGAGAAGAGAGACTGGCTTGGGTGGATTGAACCCGGTAAATACAGGTCGTTGATGAACCGTGTAGTCAAATTAAAACTTCAGGAGGTGTTGATTCAGTGTCAGAGGACGCACACTGGGAGAGATGTTTTTATAGTAGTCCAGGTCTTCTGTTGGGGGGGGGGGGATGTGACTGCAGAGGAATGAAAACAGTAATTATCGTTTTTAAGCAGGTCATGTTTTGATGGCTTCATGTTTCATTATGCCGGGAAATTAGCATCGCTAAACAGGCCAGCGGGCTGAATGGTCTAATTAAGCAGCGCAGCGAGAGGCTTGTGTGTGTATGTGTGTGTGCACGTGTGTGTGTGCCTCAGCATGCGCTCAGAATTTTTTATGTTTCTTTAAGAGATGAAAGCAAGAATTGTACATTGCATAAATGTGATATTTTTAATATATGTGCAGTACTGTGTTCATTAGCATTCCACCTGTGTGATTTGTACAGCTTGTTTCTGAACAGGGAATCAATGGAGTATCATGGCGGGAAGTGTTTGTGACGCTAATATACTCACTGCCTTGTTAAGGATGATTACAGCATTATGAGCTCGAGCTAATCAATGAAATCCACCCCTTCTCTCATAATCCTCCATAGCGTCTGCACAAAGCTCTAGAGTGGCATTTCTTCACATTATGGTTTCACATTGTTGCTTCTAATTAGGGTTTAATTTGCCCATTTGTTTGATGAAACAAGGGCTGAATGAATGCCCCTTGTAGTTTCTGCAGGAGGGGAGTCAGTCGGTGTGTTTTTTTTTTTTTTCTGTGTTTTGAGTCTGTGCAGATCTAACATGTTGCTTTAAAGAAAACCTAACTCACCAGACGTCCCTCTCTGTGTCCACGCAGCACCAGGGAGCACGTGACCCCGGAGATGAACAAGCTTCGTCAGAGCCTGAGGAGGAAGAAAGGCACCTGCTTGCCAGAGGCCAGCAGACCGTATCAGTGGCAGGCTGACGAGGAGGCCGTACGAAAGGGCAAATGTAATTTCCCTGTTCGGGTGAGTATCTGAAGCTCAGGCCAGTTCGGCTTTATTCATGAGCAGTATGAAGTAACAGTCATTAAATCTGTGTGATCCACTGATGAAACAAGTCCTGAATGAATGCACTGAGAGAAGATTTCTCACAAAATCCTGTCATATCACCAAACAATGGTAAACAGTAGGGGGGTTGATGTGTTTGTGTGCCGTCCTTACACTAGAAGACTTCAAAAGTTCAGAGTTTTAGTCACAGATTGAGGATCTTTCCCGGTCACTAGTTGTAAGGCTACAATTAGATTCCTCTTGAGATTATTTCCCATCATGCACTTGGTGAAAATGTATACTTTTGAGCAGGAGAAACTGGTGGAGTTGTGGAGAACGTGTCTCTTTTACTACTTTTCTGTTTCCTGTTTGCTGCTGGTGAAGCATGTTCTGTATCTGTCGAGAAGACAAAGAGAGACCGTCTCTTAAAACAGCTTGGACTGAGTTTTATCACCACCTTACACCGGACAGCTGAGACCAAAGGAGTGCGCCCTAACTCTCGCAAAGTTCTCAGGAAATTATTCAGGAAATGTATCTTTGACTCCAACATTGCGTTACAAGTCGTTTGGTGTTCCGCCAACATAAGTTGTTTCTAGAGACAAAAGACGAGGCATGCTGTGCAAACAGATATTTTGTTATTATCTTTCTGAGCTGACGTTTTAATTACTTTGATGGTTAGTTAGGGCGTGAATTATGACCATTTGTTTTGACTAGCATGTCATTCTTAGCTCTCCTGTACATTTTTCCACCAAGAGGCACACGTTAAAGTAAATTTAACAATGAGAGGAGACACACTATGAACGTCTATATGAAGTCTACATTACATTCAGGAAGTATAATTGCTCTGCATCTTCCAGGTCGTGTTCGTCTCGGTTCTCAGGGTTGAGGTCAATTTGATCCTTAGAGAAACAAATGATGATTTGAATCAGAAACCATTAGACCCATGATTAAAGGCTTGTATGTAATAAGTGCAAATACGAGGGCTCATGACATTGATAATGGCCTCATGACATGTACAGATAAGCAGCATCAACCTGATGCTTTTTCTGTTTCTGAGAGGTGGCGAGATTTGCAGAAGTGTTGCAGATATAATGGAGACTCGAGAGGGAGGGCAGACGTCGAGGCGGTGTAAGATAGATTAGGGACTCCACAGGAAATGACAGGGTGAGGGATGAGGGCACACTGAGGGGACAGAGAGACAACGTGAAGATATGAAATGAGATATATAGAACAGGAAGAAAGCCGCAGACTCGCTGGAGAAAGTAGAAGAGAGAAATTCAAGGCTGATGAAAAAATGTTTTCGATGGTCCAAAGAGTTTGTGATGTGACGGGCGGTGAAGAGTGAAGCCTTATAAAATCTCTCACTCTGTTATTAAGATTCTTCCTCTGTTTTGCCCCGTTAATCTTTCCTCTTCACATCTCTGCCTTTTCTCTCTCCTTTCCTTATTATCAGCAGAACGAGCATCCAATGTTGGGGATTATTTGATGCTTGCCTGTCACATCCAAAAATACTGATAGTCTAAAAGAGTTTTCTTGCTTTTATATCATATTTAGGATCTGCTCAGTTGTGCTTTCTTCCTCGTGTATTGATGAGGGATATTACCAAACATGAATGTACAGTGGAAATAAAATACCTAAATTAAAATTTTCTCACTTCCGCTTTCTTGTTCTCGTGCAGTACCTGGGGTTGGTGGAGGTCGAGGAGTCGAGGGGGATGCATGTATGTGAGGAGGCAGTGAATAAACTCAAAGTTGTAAGTATCCCACACACACACACACACCTGCAGAGAGACACACATACACAGCTTGCGCACACACACACACACACACACACACCCCACTGCTGCAGCCCTGGAGGTTCATTTAGTTGTAGAGGCTGCACAAAACGCTATAACCTCAAGGATTCACACACTTATCTGGAGGTCATTAAAGAACCAGTTGCTCAAAGCTCATTCCCACAGGATCGACCCGAGTGAGCACACACACACACACACACACACACACACACACACACACACACACACACACACACACACACACACACACACACACACACACACACACACACATTTGTACTCTCTGCAGGTGCCTCTCTGGTCTTGTTATTTTCCTTTCCTTACTTCTTTCTGGAGCTTTGGGAGAAAAAAGTCGATTCAGCATAGTGTCCACGTTATCTTGTGTGGCTGTTTTTTCCTGAAGCACAGTATTGATCTTTCACTACAGAAACGATCAAAGTAACAAAACGAATACAAATAAAGTTTATACTGGGATGATAAATATTACATTTTTCTGTAAGTTAGAAGCTGTTGAAACTTTCTGACGAGGTCAGCAGGAGTGTTAGGAAGCTTATTAAAGAAGCAGCATAACTTTTTTTTTACAAACTGCATCTTGCTGAATACAAACCTTAAATTTATCGATGTCTTTACGTCCGTGTGGTATTTTCTTTTTTTGGTAATCAATAGACCAAAAAATAGACTTTCATCCCAAACATGAGTTGGTTGGACAAAACGTCAGGGAAGAACTTTCATTTCTTCGTTGTTCGCTGATGCTGAAGCTGCTGTCTGACTGTAGGCTGGCTGCACACTAGACGATTTTAGGACAGATTTAGGGCTCTGAATAATCAGGGCGGGTACAATTTTCTTTTTTTAGAAAAAAGCCGTGTTCCGATTATTTGTCCAAAATAAACTCCTCAAAAAACATTTGGAAACTTTATTTCAGTCACTTATTTCGCCCCTTTCATAATACTAATTGGTGTTGTGTTTTATATCGTTGGAAAGCCTGATTAGTCACCTTTACAACAAAGTATAACTTGTAAGGATCGTGCAGGATCGTGCACACAGCTAAATGTGTGGGTAGCGCCCTAAAAAAATGTGCCAAAGTCCCCTGCAGTGTTCTTCTGTTGGTACGTTTGATCATGTAAGTTTCTGTGAGATCTCGTGTCTGTGGAATCGTTACTACAAACGGCAGGTTGTGGCATTACAGCCTGGCTGAATCATCTAGCGCGTGCGTTCAGACAATAATAACTGTATCTAACAAAGTCACCTTTTCCTTTCATTAGTCTGCTCCTTTATTTGTATTCCTTCCTCTCTAACGACTCTTTTCTTTCCATTCATCCATGTCAGCGTTTTCTTTAGCAGCGTCCTCACCTCTCTGCAGTTTCTCACGCTTCAAACTTTCTCCCAGACTTATCGTTTGCTTTGCATTATCCCGTTCCACCTCGTCATGTAGCCTACCCCTCTTCTCCTCCGCTCTTTTCTTTGCCTCTCTCAGTTTCCTCACCTCGCCTCAATGGGATTATGCTAAACTCGACGCTCCTTGTCGCTTTCGCCGTGGGTTTCAAAACCATTTGCTGCAGTGATCCTGCATTCTGTTTCCCTCCCTGACACACACACACACACACAAACACACACAGAGTCAGCACACACTCTTCCGCACTCACATTGAGTTGCTGTTTTTTTCTGCCATGTATTTTTAGCCCGGCCCACGCTGGGTGTGTTATTAGCTTTGCTTGGTGCCCTCCTCGGGAGAAAATGATTCCAAGTACCAGCTGGCACAGTTTCTACCTTTTCCCCATCCCGCCCCTCTTAACTCCCCGCTACATCATGTGCTAAGGATGCAATGATCACTTCTCATAACCGCAAGTAGTAGTAAAAGTAGCTTTATATGCTGTTAGCTTCTTTAATGCTAATCTGAAACATGGAACATCTGTTAAAATGCACCTGCCTTAAAAGTTATGAATTATTTACTCTACTGCTTCTGTTTCTGTGTTCCAGAGCGGGAAAAAGACAGTCAAAGCAGTGCTGTGGGTTTCAGCGGATGGACTCAGGGTGGTGGATGACAAAACTAAGGTGAGTAAACAAGTTGGGTTTTTTTTGTGTGTGTGGTGCTTCTGATTACAAGGTGCTAACAACAAACACAAAGGTCAGAGGTTTGGCTCAGTGACTAGACGAGGTGACACCTAACAGAAAGCTAGCGGCATCAACCTGTCAATCAAATTGAACCGCTTCCTGAATAGTTGTGAGAAAAGTCATTCTGTTTGTCGCTCCTTCTTTCCTTCCCTCCTTGTCCTCCTTCCTCTCCTAATCCTCACACACTTTGATTTCTGCGACACTTGAAGGAAGTGAGTGGATGAGTGTGTGAACCCTCTTTCACCGCTATCGGTGGCTGCATTTCTTCAGTTTCAGTTTTCTAAAGATTCATTCTCTATCCTCTGACCACCAACAAATGTCTCATTCTGTCCCAGTTTGACGACCCCCTCCCCCCTTAAGGCCAGCGTCAGAGACAGCCACCATACATTTACTTCCTTGATGCTCTCAGGCCAGCCTGGATCTGTGTGTGTTTTTTGTGTGCAGTTTCCGAGCTGACGTATGTTACTCATGGTGTCTAGCTTTAGGGTGCTTCTTGAGGAGGGGAGATCGAGTAAACACAGAGGCACACACACATGCACTTGAGGAGTGTCTGGTGGTTTGGGAGGCATCCTGCAGAGTGAGTGCAGCTCGCTGTGCTTCTATTCAAAGCAGAGCAGAATAAAGAGCTGCAGAGAATAGCCGAGAGAGCGAGAGAGAGAGAGAGAGCCTCTTTCTTTCAAATTCCCCTTTTTTCTTATTTTTAGAGGCCACACACATGACCTCCCCTCTTCACATCCCATATTCCTCCTCCTCCTCTCTCCCTCCTCTTTAATCTCCCTCCTGTCCTGCCTTCAGTGAGATATTTTCATCCGCACGTATTAACGGAGGATCATGAACAAATCCCAAATCAACAAACAAATGATGCTTTAGAAAATAAAATACTGTGTGCAGCCAAACCTGCGTTATCTCATTCCTCTGCAAACACACAAGTACATATTCAATACTTTGAATTCAATACTTTGAATTCGACACTTCAACGTTTTATATAAGCAATCACATCAAAGTTTTTCACTCTCTTTCTTCCCTCTTCTCACCTCTCACCATCAACTCAGCCTCCGTCTATGAATCAGCAATGCATGCCTAATAACGCCCACACCACCATTATTCAGACACTTTCCCCACACTGGGTGAAAAGTACTGTATTTACAGTAAGTGTGTGTGCAGAACGACCTTCATAAGGCATGAATAGAAAGGAACAGACAAGTCTTTTTTTGTGTTTAGGGCATAAAGGCTTCTCTGCTGAGATGAGACACGGTGCTTCATATGTTGCTATTCTTCCTTTCAGCCGTGCAGGGATCTAAGTCACCTTCACACACACAAACACACAAGAACACACTTTTTGTTCGTATACATTCCATCAAATGTACTCTTCAGATACAAAGATATGTCTCTAGCTTATTGCTCCACTTCCCCCCTCACGTCCCTCCTTCTTGTCTCCTTTCTTTTTTCCTTCCTTCCCTCCCCGTCCTCCCTTCCTCTCCTAATCCGCACACACTTTGATTTCTGCAACACTTGAAGTGAGTGAGTGGATGAGTGTGTGAACCCTCTTTCTCTTTCTGCCCCTTCTCGCCTCTTGTTTTCCCACTCGTCGGTGAGTCAAAGAGAGGAGCCGGGGGGTGGGGGGGTGGGGGGTGGGGGGCCCTGAATGTACACAGAGAAAAAGGAAAGGGCCCCTCTTAGTTTCCTCTATAGTGACTATAGACACTGGAGACCGGCTGAATAACGCTTTTGTAGAAGGAGGAACGAGTGGTGGAAACATCCCGGTGATGAAAAGGGGGTTCGGTGTTATTAGTCTATGGACACTGTCATTGGTAGACGTGTTAATAGGGGGGAAGTGAGGCGGCACTCAGGGGGTTAACTGAGGGTTGAAAAGGGGTGTGTCATCTATTGGATCTGTCTTCCTGTCTTCTGGCAAAGGTTAAGCTGCTGGTACACAAGACACAAGATGGGTCTTTATGTGATCCACCTGCTGGGACAACTTGATTTCCTCTCACCTCTCTGCATCTCTCGTTTCCTCCACAGGACCTCATCGTGGACCAGACCATAGAGAAGGTTTCGTTCTGCGCTCCTGATCGGAACTACGACAAGGCCTTCTCCTACATCTGTAGAGACGGGACGACCAGACGGTGGATGTGCCACTGCTTCATGGCTATCAAAGACTCGGTGAGGGAGGGGGTGCAGTTAATGTTTCACCTACCCCTCAGGGATGTTCTTTACACAAACAGTCGACGATCCTCTGCCTCATGTTCCACTAGCTACTTCTTCTCACAGTTTCTTTGAAAGTCAAGGGCCTATTGGCATCAACATGTGCATAAGAAATTACAACCTTTATAAATTTCATACACTTTAATCGGGTTGTGGTGCTATTTTTATTGGTACCGGACATGTTGAATCGGCATCGGCTCGGTCAGTGAGAGGGATCTGTCTGATTGGCTGTTGGGAGGTTTCATGTATCTCCAGCTCTCGTCACAGGTTCAGAAAAGCCCCTTGAGCATGCCGCTGTAGTATCCATGCTTTCACCCATTAGTGTGGTTTCTCCTTATTTGTCTCCTCCGCCTCTTCTTTTCTTTTTCCACTAAAAGACCAAGGGCTGACAACGCCAGCGCCATTTTCAACTTTTTATCAGACATTATTCTCCATTAGTAGACTACCTATAATACGAGTGGTGAGCGACAGAGATGTGAAAATGGTCTTCTGGTATCATAACAACGGACTACCGTCCCCTGCTGGCATGGAAAGTTATTTCCTCTCAGGCATGAGCAGAACGTACGTGTGGTTGGCCGTCTGCTGTAGTCTTTGCGGTGTGTTCAAGTGAAACTTTTTGGCCAAGACAAAAGGCGACAAAAAACCACTAGTTCTTTGCCGTCTGCTTGGTGTGTCAGGACCTTAATACACAAAGAAAAAACATCACAATAACACGCTCACATGCAAGAGTCTGATACATAACTATTTGTGCCACCGACGATATATCCCACATATGTTAACACGGACTGTCCAGTGTTCTGGACGCACGCATTAGAAAACACCCGTACTCTTCTGCATTGCCAGCAGATCAGGTTCAGTTGAAGTGAAATATTCAGAACAGACCAAATGGGTTACAACATTCATTTTGTTTGTCCTGTAGTTCCACTTGTTTGGTGATTTATAACCTTCTGCGATGTAATGCCTCGCTGACCTTGAGGTTGTTTTCTAAAACCATCTGCAACAAAATCAAAGTCGTCCTGCAGCACTGCTGTTCCAACACGACGGCGGCTTCATCAGCTTAGACTGTGAGTCGGATTATTAATGTGGACGGAAGCGAGCATGCCACAGACCTGCGGGATTAGGAGAGGGGATTAGAAAGAAGCCTGTGGGGTTATCGGTCCATCTTTGTCTGTCTCTATTTCCATCACACTCTCCGTATCTCATCTGCAACTAAACTGTCTCTTCTTCAGCAGTCTTTGTGGAGGCCTTTGCAAATGGCTTGTTTCAAATTAGTTCCATTTAGTGCCGACGAGCACAAACGTCTATTTCAATTTAAAAGACTTCAGGAAGAAGCTGCACCACTAACTGATTTTTCTATAATTTATGTCAGTCTAATTTCACAGCACTAATATAACCGTGTATGGTGTACATCAAACTTTATTGGATTGTCTGAATTTCCTTTCCTTAGGGCGAGAGACTGAGCCATGCGGTCGGCTGTGCATTTGCTGCATGTCTGGAGAGGAAGCAGCGCAGGGAGAAGGAGTGCGGCGTGACGGCTTCCTTTGACGCCATTCGCACCCTTTTTGTGCGAGACGGCTCCTTCCGAGTGAACTCATCCAGCAGCGAGCGCGATGACAAAATGCAGGACAAGAAGAAAGGTGAGCGAGGGAGCGGGGGTTTATACTCACGGTGTGCATTTCTACTCTCGTGTCATTTAGAAAAATTGCCTAAAAAGGTAAAGGTCACACGTTTAGAGAGCAAACTCGTTTAGGGGTCACAAGATGTATGTGACCCCTCTTTGAAGTCTGAGTTCAGTATTTTGCAGTCACCATACCATCATGTTATGTTGAAGAAGACTTCGAACTACAGATTTAGACCATAAACATGTCGAGAAAATTTATGCTGAGGTAAAAATTCGATGACAAGTAGGCTAATTTTCACAGCTAGCTTCATGCAATCACAATTATTTTTTGCAACAAGTGTAGTCTCCCCCCTGCTGGCCATTAGCAAGAAAGCAGGATTCAGTCATCTCTGCATTGTCTTCACTTTTGAATCCAGCCTGCACGTCCACTTTATATACACCTTCCATGATAGGGGCTTTAGGGAGTAATGTAATGACCATGCATCCGCTTCCTCCACCAGACCAATCCTCTGCAATCACAGTCCTCCCACCTGGCAACGCCTCGCCACCCGAGGGAGCGGGTTCCCCTATGGATCGATCAGCACCTGGCGGGCCTCATGCCATTCCTCGCCGCCACGCCCCCATTGAGCAGCTGGTACGGCAGGGCTCGTTCAGGGGATTTCCTGCTCTCAGCCAGAAGAACTCTCCCTTTAAGAGGCAGCTGTCGCTCCGCCTCAACGACCTGCCATCCACACTGCAACGCAAGACCGACTTCCAGACCAAGAACCCTGGTGAGTGGAGACTTTCCTGAGGTCAGAGTAACTATGAGGAACTGGCTGAACTTCCTCTTCTTCAGTCAGAGGCCGGGTGGGAAATTATGTGAACGTCTTAGGCCCTTCAGCAGAAAAAAAAGGTCTCTGCAGTGGGATTCATTAAGTTTGAATTCAAAAACAGAATATCTGAAATGTTGGATGAACAGAAATACAGTTTGATTAATATTTCGAAAAGTCTTTCATTTATTGAAGGAATCTCTTGCGCTTCAGCCCCCTGCACAGTCGGAGGTCGGTGCTCTCAGAGAAAGACCTCAGACGACTGAAAGATGATCCAATGGACTCCTTCACACAGGCAGAGTCCAAGGGAAACACTGGAGCACACAAATCACTTAAGGCAATTTATTAAAATGTAAATGACCAACGTTTCGACTTGCACTGTGTCGTCCTCAGAGTCAAACCTCTGTGCGGGTGACTTATCCCTCACAGGTTAATATACATCCACACAGGAGCATGAATACATACATGAGAGCGCTGAGCGGCGAGACTGATTATCATCATTACGACAGATGAGAGAGGTTGACTGACTGGAATACTAAATCACAAAATTCAACTCTCACTCTTATTTCTAATTTTTACCTCTTTCGTTTCTGTCTCTTGTTACCCCACGATGATGAGCGTGAACAATCAGAAGTGTTGCATTTCAGTCAGGTTGAATTCTTGATGCAGAAACTTCTTCTTCACCTCTCTAGTTCACACGAACACAGACACGCAGATGCTCACACTCAGCCGTATAGCTGTCGATTCCACGGCCTCCCTGCTCCCTTGTGACTCTCTGAACAATGAGTGTATTGATCTGTGCGGTCATTCAGCTGTCCTGGTTAGCCTTCAGCAAGCCTTCTGTCCGCCCTTGAACCTGCCACTGCACTCAAAGAAACATATACTCACACAAACACATACACACACACTCACACACACACACACGATACCTACACGTGTGCAGTACTTAGAGTCCTTCTGAACTCTGTGGGACATCGAGGTGTCTAGGTAAAGAGAGGGATCACAGGGTGGGTCCCTACTGTATCTTTTATGGGAGACCTTGCACACACGCGACTCCAGCACCCTCTACATAATTCAAGGCCTGTAGGAATGCAGAGCTCACAGTATGAGAGAGCTTTTCATAAGAAAAGTCGCAGCACAGAGGTTAAACTCCTTCATGAAAATCGTGACCCAAGTTTCTGATAATTTTTCAACCAATCAGATTTATTGAATGACAAATACATGTAGTGCATTTTTGACCTCGAATGGTATGTAACATATGACGGAACAAAGAGAAGGAACAAAACCAACGTGTTTTAAGAGCACTTCCTCGACTTTTTCAAAATTTTCTTTTTGTTTGCGACCCACTGAAAATGGCTGCCTGACCCACTTTTGGGTCCCGATCCACTAGTTGAGAACCACTGGTCTAGACCGTACTCTTTCTTATGTTATTAGCAGCACTTGGCAACATTTGGCAACAACAGTGGCAAACAAAATGTTCCTTTTAACCGGCAGAAATCTGGTGTAGAACCAGACTCACGTTGAACAGCCAACCTGCAGCGACGTGATTGGCTAAGAAAGTGATATATCAGAATCAGAAATACTTTAAATTATTGGGGTCCCTTTCTGCAGCATATGGACTCATCTTTACAGAATTTGTATCTCTATAGTGAATGTTTTCTTTGAATGAATAGAAGAAGAAAGGATCGTCATCTCTCTCTGAAACAAAAAAACATGGACCAGTGGACAAAGAAAAAGGAGTTCAATATGATATCTATTAATATCTGTGGCTCACGCAGGAGAGGCTCAAAGCTGCAGTCAGAAAGGAATATTATGCTGCTTTACCCGTCACTGGTCAGATCAGTTACAGATGGTTTGAAAATGTGGATAAGCCAAGCAAAATAGCTCTTCCTGAGTCAGCGTTATGTACAAGTATAGTAGCTCTACTTAAAATAGGATAGTTTACACTGTTACACAAGCTTGGCATGTTAGCAATGTTCTGACTGAGTTTGAACCTTTTTATTTTTGAGAAACTGGTTATTAACACAATATCATGTTCGTCCTGACGATCTTGTATTTGTGATGCTTTTTTCAGGCCAACAGAGGCCGGCATCAAAGTCTTCATCTGCTCCAGTTTGGAGGCTTTTGATGATAACTGGGTCTCTGACACAAACTAATGCATATTTTCTCTCCCTCTTCTCTTCTCCTCTCTTCTGCTTCCATTTCTTTCCCTTTCTTTTTCTATCCTCAACTTTCCCGCCTCACCTTCCCCCATGTGGCTCCCCTTTTCGCTGGTACCAGAGATGGATATGGGGTTGCCAGGCGAGGGAGAGGGTTGTATTAACGCTCTGTGTGGCCAGATGAACGCCGCGCTCACCAAGCCATCAGACGAGATCTTCACCAACCCCTCTTTGTCTGCAAATGGTCCTCCAACCTGCCCTGTCCCCCCTATCCTGCCTCCACCACCTGCGCCAATGCAGGGTAAGAAATCTGCATTAGATCAATAGTGTGATTGATTTTCTAAAGAACACTTTCTAAACTGAACTCAGTGGTGATTAAATGTTTACACTTACAAAGTCTTTAACTTTATCCTTCCAGCCACCTCTTCCTGGGTGCAGCCGGAGCCTCCGCTTCACTCTCCTCCTCCAGTTTCCGTGGCGATGCAGATGCAAATGCAGATGCAGTGTGGTCACAGGCGCACACCCTCCGAAGCCGAGAGATGGCTGGAGGAGGTCTCCAAGGCAGTCAAGGCTCAACAGACTCCTCCTCCTGGCTCCACAATCCCCACAATCCCTGGACCACCCTCCATGTCCAGTCAGGCAGCCATAGCAGCTGCCCCAGTTTCCACCATCCCCCTGTCCATTGGCAACATTTCAAAACCTCTCATCTCGGGCCCTTCCGCTCTCTCAGGTCAGGTCCCATTGCCCCTCCAACCCATATCAATATCATCAGTTCCCTTAATACCTGGCCCTCCAGTAACAGGCCCCCCCATGTCTCTACCTTCTATGTCAATTCCCACGATGTCCGGTCCAAGCATGACTGGGGCACCCATGATGCAGCCCCCCATCCCTCAAGGCTCCCTTCCCAGCTCCATGCAGCCCTTTCCTTTGGCTTTTGATGTCACTCCAGCCCCTGTGGGAATGTTTGCCAGTCAGCCTGTCCAACCGGCCTTTGTGCCTATGCAGACCTACATGCCAGGCCTGGCCAGCAGTATGACCTATCCCAATGCTAGTGTGCCTGTGGTTGGCATCACACCGTCACAAATGGTGGCTAACGTCTTCTGCACAGCTACAGGCTCGTCCAGTGCAGGGGGCACCATGGGCTCGGCAGGAATAGGACCTAAAGTGGGAACACTTGGATCAGTTGGGCAGCACCATTCTTACCCAGTAGCAGTTGGGGACACTGGAGGATTTTCCACTCCGCCATTATCAACAACTATTAATGGCCTCCCACCGCACAGTAGCATGATTGACCTGCAGAATGGGACCTCCAGCAGCAGTAGCAATTGGCCGCCAGAGGGCAGCCAGCTAACAGCTCCAGCACCGACCATTGCACAAGACGATGATCGATTTGAGGCCAAGTGGGCGGCACTGGAGGCCAAGCCAGCGGCTCATCCTGGCAATGTGGCGCCAGCTGCAGCCGCCAACCCTTTTTCCAACAATCTCCAACAGACTTTTGAGATTGAGCCAGATCGGTCCTCCCAAAGCTGTAGCTCTAGCACTGGAATCAAAGCCTGAGGGAGCCTGGCACCAATTCCAGCATCTCTGCTTAGTGACAGCAGGATGCAGAACCTTCAAGTTAGCCTAGCACCGGACCTGTGGCAGCCTGGTAACTTGCTAAAAGCCCTCATTGGAGTCAATGCTATTATGATCCTTATTGCTTTCTTTGCACTCCCTTGAGAGTTTTGGAGGAAGTTGTCAGATTGCCGGGCTGCCATTGGAAAGTCGGGTTTCTAGATGACTACACTAAATGGGCTGAATCTTTTCACTTCATCCCGCTAACCTCTCTTCCCCGAGTTCACATCGCCACTCACGCTTTGCTTTACCTGCTGCGAGTCCCAGGATGTACTGTATGTGCCCACTGAGGACAACGTGGGGGGGGGCACCTCAGTGGTTTCTTTCTTTGCAAAGGGGACTCCATCCAGAAGTATTCCAATCCACATATGAGATGTTTTGTTTTTTTTATCTGGTGGAGAATATTGGGGATAACTAAGCAGATATGGCTACATCACAAGACCTGCAGAGAAGCAGAGGAGATGATCAGACCGATGCTGATCTTAACCAAGCACAGCAAAATGTCTGGAGACCTGAAAGGACTTGCCAATGATGTAAGAACCGGCCATTTCAACATGAAAGGACTTACTAATAGTTGAGATTTATGGCGAAAATTATTTTATTTATTGTAATTCTTTTTTTATTATAACAAGTTATATATACATGCAAATCTAAATTTTTAGCGTTCCAGGAGCTATATTTATTTAACAGGAGCGAAACTACAGGTAGCAGACAGGTATCAGGGCAGCAGAAGAGGGGGAAACAGGAAACAAGTAGCAAGAGCTGACAGCTAGGCAACAGCAACAGTATGACACAGTAGTGTATATAGCAGCATGTTTCTTCCACCTGTCGGCCTATCTCGTATAAACGCTTCACTGCCGGTGAGGCTTATTGTGTCAATATGGCTTCACTTTGGCTCTCTGCTCCATTTCTGCCCCGAGGGCTTCACTTCAAGGGTTAGCCTGCTGGGATATACATCACTCTGACACTCTGGACAATACAGCACAGCAGTCTCCACTTTACTCCCAAAACATCCAAGGAATGTTTATAACTCAGTGGAAACAAACCAAAAAAAAAGAAAAAAATCTACATCACTGTGGTTGCTCAACTTTCCTACACTCCTACACAAAAAGTCCTTTAATATGTTCAAACACAGGGTATAATCTCATCACATAATAAGGTATGATTGTGTACTACTGTGTCAGCGGCAGTAGTACTGTGCTCATTTTCAGAGGTGAAAGAGAGGAGGTACATGAGTGACGCAGACTGATTTATTATTTAGTAAATCAAAGTAGAAGAGAAGAGCTAAAGAAAAGCTTGCAAGAGAAAACAAGAAGGGATGAACTGCATGTGAAAGACTGAAGAAGAGAAAGGAGTGATACCTTGAAATAATGAGATGGAGGATGTCTGATGAAAGGAAAATGAATATGATGGTAACAGAGATTTGATTGGGCGACAGTCTGTGAAAATAAATTGGGAACAAAGGCTTATTCATTCCCTGCTAAGCCAACATCCCGTCACTCAATGATGTGTTGAACATCATATTCCTCAACTCTTAAAACTCCTCAAACAACACAACAGGGTCATAAACACGATTCCTTCTGAGTGTGTGCAACTACAAAAAGAGTTCAAACTTCAATAACGTCTGTGCTGAAACGTGCGATGAGGTTCAGGCTGATTTAAGAGCGACATAGCACAGAAATGTTCTTTAGAGAAGGGCTTTTTGTCTCTATGATTTCTGTTTTCTCTCCTGACCAGAGATGCTCTTATCACGGCCCTTTGTAATTGAATTATAAGGATATGGACGGCCACTCATTAGGTTTTCTGCTTATTAACTCCCCACAGTTTAATTAGCTTACTGGCTCTCTTCCTGTGGCAGTGATCCCATCTGACAGGCTGCCTCTCGGAGATCTGAGACGTTTGTGTCCTCGCAGGTTTTTTTTGGGACCAATCGATATTTCTTCCCGCTCTCTCTACAAGACAAACTGATTTACTCATGAAATCATTTTTTTTGAAAGTCTAGTTTAGTCCTCAACTCTTGTTTGCACGCCCTCCAAATGATAAATGTAGGTTCATTATGTTCCACGTTAAAGCAAACTTAATGACCTCATAAACTTGATTGTAAAACCATAGTTTAGTGATGGTAACAAAGCAAACCAGTGGAATTTATTTTTAATCTTTATTTACAGAATTTTTGTATTTAAACCTACATATTTGTATTGTAATTACATTGTACAAAAGATAAATAAAGTAATATAATATTACACATGCTCGCGTCTTTGTTGTTGCTTATTGGCCCTTCAAAGCTGTAAATGTCTCTTTTACCCTTTTCCATCCTTTTATGACCTTTTGATTCTTTCAAGTTATCTCTCTGCGCTTTCTGGTATCCTTTGATTGCTTTTCATTTATGTCTGAGGTTCTCAGCTCCTGTCTCTCATTGTAGATCTGACTCATAGTGCTTTCACACTATGACTTTTTCACTCGGTCTTCACCCGGAGTTTCTCCTGCCTGACCCCTAGTATTTTCTCCACAGCAAGTCAGAGTGACGCAGCAGGATATTCTCAGGAGAATTCACCTTGAGTCAGTAGAGGGACAGTGACGTTTATATACTGTGACTGGAGTCAGTGCATAGACTGTCTGCACACGACCGCCTTCGATCTCTGTGCACATAATTAACATGCTGCATTATGTTCTGTTCTCCTGTATGTCCTTCTCCGCTCTTTAGTTCATCTTGTGATTCCACTGAACTATACATAGCATAGCTATAAAGGCAAATATTCTCATAGCGCCATATAGAGCAGTGGTTCTCAACTGGTGGTTCCTGGAGCTATTTTCAATGGGTCGCAATTGTGTGCCTGGAAAAAGAAGTCTGTCAAAAAGTCTCTAAAGCACTTTTGGAACGTGTTTGTTTGTTGGGTTTTCTTTGTTCTGTCACATGTTATGTAGCCTTCTGAGGTCCAAACGGTACAACGTTTTCATGAAATAAATCTGATTGGTCAAAAAATATCAGAGATTTTGGTCGAGCTGTGAGGTGCATGTGTGAACAACCAGGTTAGGAGAATATCTAGAGTATTCCTCCTGAAATTATCTAGATATTTTTTTGGAGTGCAGATGTGAAAACAGCCTGAGTCATTATCCAGAGTTCTCCTGCTTGTATTCACTCGTGTGAGTAGGAGGGGGGGGGTTACTTTTATCATCTGCGATGGGTGCACGACCATAGACTGTCTACATGCAACTGGGACACATGATTAAAGTGCTGCATTATCATAAAAACTGACCGCTACGCTGAACTTTTCTGAAGACACATTTGCAGATTGGCCCAAAGTCGTCGCCCTTTCACCTAAAGACAAAATCAAAGAAAATGCTTCTGTGACGGATTGAAACAGTTGACTCTTCATATCCTTATTACACTTGTATGTCAGCTCAACACTGTCCTTTCATCTGCACGGTGTCTCTCTCCTCTCAGTGTAACCCCCCCACCCCCTCCACAAGCCCCAGGATGCCACTGCTGTCTAACCAGCTCTGTCCTCCAGCCAGCCGGGCCAAGCGGTGCTGCTGCTGCTCAGGTCACTAATGGAACGAGACAAGGCCTCTTTTCTTCTTAAGGGTCGTGAGAAATGGGGCTGACTACTACACACAGACACACACACACACACACACACACACACACTGAGCTCTTGAGAGTGGTGGTAGCAGTAACTCTCACTCGGTCATTGTCCTCTTGGGACAGAGTCAGTGAGTGTGTGATGCTGAGGAGGAAAAGGAGGAGAATCATCAGAGATACTAACCGTTGTGATAAAAACTAAAGATGCTGAATGCATCATTTAAATTGCTTTTTGTACTGTTATTCCCTCATAGTGCTCTGTGCTGCCTATTGGAGAGTTCAATCAAATACAGTTTAAAGCATCGTTTGGGTATGGTGTCTATAGCTTCAACCTCATGACTCCTCGCAGACTTACTTCACCGGCGGCAGAAACTTCCATCACTACAACACCTGTTGGTTTGACCTGATAACTGCTCTCATATCTGGAAAACAGAGGGGCGTCCAAAACGGCCGTGTGGGGGTGCCTTAAAAGCGCCTACCTTCTCTGGTCCAAACAAATCCAGAGCATTCAGGACCAGAATCTAAAGTTAGAAGGAGGACATACTGGCTGTTGCATTGTTGTCAGAGAAGCCAGCACTTCAACATAGCATGTTTCCTTAATGTCTGATCATATAGTAAGCTCACTTTAGGATTTAAGTCAGAAGATATCTGACGGATTGGTCCTTTACATTTAAATTTAATTTTAATTTAATTTTCAAAAAATAACAACAAATAACTATAACAACACCTTTAAGTTAACTTTCTACACCTTCTTGTTCACAGTGTATGTTACTGTACAGAAAAAGTTGGTGGCAACAGCCCACATAGTAGATGACAATGCTTGGTTGCCATGGCTACACAGCCATGAAAGAGTAATTTATAACAGATGAAAAGTGCTGCGGTCTGCGAAAAATGTCCCCTTGGTGTAAAATTTAAAGTGCCAGAACGAAAGGAGATACAGGTTCACCCTAATTTATTCTCAAGACAGATAGGACAAATGTAGGCAGGTGTGTGTGTGTGTGTGTGTGCGTGCGTGTGTGTGCATGCATGCATGGGTGTGTGTGTAGCCTATGTGTGTTAGTGGGAAGACTTCCCCTGTCCTTTATTTGTTTTATAAGTCAGAGGGTTTTATATGAAGCCGCCAAGAACTGTAATTAGATTATAGGCTAATAATACTAGTGTGTGTGTGTGTGTGTGTGTGTGTGTTTCATAGAGGATCTCCGAGTGAGAAACATCCCTCTGTGTGTCACTGTTTTGCTTCCAATCATCGCTCCCTCTCTGTCTTCACTGCTCTTGGTTGTCTGCAAAAAAGAATATTTATTAACGAATTTGTGTGGAAGTTTGGATGCATGTCAGTAGGTGTAGAAAAGAAGAATGTGCGCAGCGTACAGTGTGTGATCAGGTGTGTCAGCATCTGTCTGTGTGATGGCAGTGTGTGACAGCAGTGTGAGCGCACACTCAGTAATGGTGTTTTGTGTAATGGGCCGTGCCTGGATTGTGAGATCAGTGCTGGACAATACATCAATGCAACACACACACACACACACCTTCTCCTTCTTATCAACTAAACAACACAAAAGGTACGCACATCTAAAATTCTCTGCAAACACACAGACGTGATTCTGCTAATTGCAATAGATGTGCAATAGTGTTTGCAACGCGACCTTGCAGGTCTTGCAGCTATAGGAGAGGAGGAAGTAATTACATTGATTAATTGCATGTGTTCGGTATTGATTAGTGCAGCAGCTTGCCTATTGTTTGGTAAACAGCTGGTTCCAGAAGCATGCGAGGGTCTTTACATAACGGATATGTTAAGGATGAGGCTTAAAGAGGTAAAGCAGTGATCCATTTGAATGATTGTGTAAAGAGAAATCAGGCTATGACAAGCTTGCAGGAGGTTGAGTGTGGATGTGAATGTGTGTAGATATGTTCAGACGCTAAGAAACACTGATATTATCCTTCAGGGTTGGAGCAATCTAAAATGTGATGGAAAAAAGGTGCGATCATGCACACTTTTGGTTTTAACATCCGTGCACACAGAGTCCTGTAAGCTGCTTTGTTTTCACTATATTTTAAAGGATACACTTATCTTTTATCATAGTAGGAACTAAACTGTCTATGAAAGTTGCAGGTTCGACCCTCACTGTCCAGAAAAAACGTGTCCAGAAAAAGTGAAGTGGACGAGTTCCCTTTTATATGCCCTCTTAGAGGATAATAATTGCCATTCAGGGGTGCATTGGTGCCCCACATCATAGAGCAGGTGCCCATTTTTTAAATATTCCCCCCCCCCCGCCCTCAAACATCCTGATTCCGCCAGCGCACTAAATTATGTGTATTAAGCTATATAATCGTGGATGCCTCCCTTTGGAGGTTTTTTCCGAGCATGCCCAGCCGGGAGGAGAACCCAGGGTAGACTCAGAGTTCACAGGATTATATAGGCTATCCCGTCAGGCCTGGGAACACCTTGGAATCCCCCAGGAGGAGCTGGAAAACATTGCTGGGGGGAGGGAAGTGTGGGCCGACTTACTGCGCTTGCAG